AAAAAAAACAAAACATGAACTACCTCAACAGTAAGTTTATATTAAATTCAAAACATGAACTACCTCAACAGTAAGTTTATATTAAATTATTTTTCTGTAATCCCCAACTCTAATTAATTTTAGCATGTATTTTCACTCCCTAAATTTTAGTAATATGTTGTTGAGATAATTATAGCAAACTACGTAATCTAAGGATAACTAGTTTTTTGGTAAACCAGAAAAGGTATAATTCTCAGAACTTTGCTCAAATGTCACTTTATCTAAGAAGCTTACAGTAATCCAATATCTACAATAGCACCCTACTTCCCTGTGCCAAATCACTTCTTTATTTACTCTAATATTTACTTTATTTTTCTCTTAAATTGTATTTTGTTTATGTGTTTATTGTTTCTCCAGTAAAAGATAAAGAAAAACGAGCATTTTTATGGAAAATTTGGAGTTGAGTTTTTTTCTTGCCCTAAATATAGTTGTACCTCCATATCTATGGGTTCTATGTCTATGGATTTAACCAATAATGAATTGTAAATATTTTAGAAATAAAGAATGGATGCATCTGTACTGAATATGAACAGACTTTTTCGTGTTATTTCCTAAACCATACAGTATAACAACCATTTATGTAGTATTTACATTGTATTAGAAATTATAAGTAGATGATATAAAGTATACAAGAAAATGTATATAGGTTATATGCAAATACTACATAATTTTATATAAGGGCCTTGAACATCCCTGAATTTTGATATCTGTAGATAGGGTGGGCAGTAGGTTATGAAACCCATCACCCACAGATACTGAGGGATAACTGTGTAAATTTCGTGTACCACCTTTGCTTATAGATACTATATAATATTAGTGGCATCTTGAACAGTATCATATTTTAGACTCTTATACAAGTGGTATAATTTGTAAAAAAAAAAAAATTGATTTATGCAACTTTATTTTGGCAAATTGTTGACAGAGCAGAGTTAGGAGCTGGGGAAAAGGTTTTTTTTTTGTGTTTTTTTTTTTTTTTTTTACCATGTTTTTCACTTTATTTCTTTATGTTAGACTCTCTTTCTCTCTTGGGATTATTTTAAAATAAAAGCATAGCAATATACATATGTACTATTATCAATATATTGTTATTTATCTAAAGGAAACTTAAAATATAACTAAAATATTCTCAAGTTTCTATTTTTTTCTTGTCACTATTAATCTTTAGTGTTCCTTCAGAATACTTCATATGAAAGACCCACTTGGTTTCAATGTCTTGCTACTTTAGAAAAGCCTAGTAGCATGTGCTGTTTGGGAAGGTCAGCATTATTATTGCCTTGCATGTTTCTGATTTGTTAGGGTTATATCAAATGTAATATTATCTTAGGAAATCCTGAGTAATGAATGAATTGAATGAATGAAATTCCTAGGTTGTATATTATTCTTTTCATTTTTTCCGTCTTATATTTGGAGTTAGGATTATGGAAAAAATTGCCATATGCTATGTATCAGGGTCTAATCTCGCGATCTGTTTTATTCCCTTTTTATGTAAATTGTTCCTTTCCTTGACTTTTTCCATAAGATCAAATCCAGCAGGGATCAAGCTTTGGCTGAACGTTGTCTTGCTGCACTAACTGAATGTGCTGCTAGTGGAGATGGCAATATCCTGGCTCTTGCAGTGGATGCATCTCGTGCAAGGTAAAAATACATAAGATTGGAGATTTCCAAAGACTGAAAGTTGACCAGTTTAGCTTTTCAGAGTATACTTAAATAAAAGGTTGATCCTATAAACCATTTGAGCCGTAAAGAAAATAATAACCATAATAAATTTAATTCTTATCATTTTAAAATCTCTGTATGTCAAACATTCATATATTTTGAGTGAAATATATTAATAATTGTATATTTTACTGTGAGGAATTTTGAAACTATTAAAATGAATCTATTTCACTGATTTGCAGGCTGAAATGTGTTGGACTCTCAAGTATATCATCAGGTTTATGCCTATTTCCTTGGTATTTTACCAGTTAAAATGGCTCTGGGGTGGGCAGGGGGACATTAATCTGAGAATTGATAGGAAAAACTTGTCATCCCATTGCTTTTGAATTATTTTTAACCATGAAGCAACCAGAAGAGCAACCAACTTCCCCACACCCAATCCCAGTCCTTCTTCCCTTGCTATTAGAGCCATGTGTTCTTTTAGAAGTAGAATACTTCTTGTTACCAGCCTTTTATCTCCTGTTGACATTTTGGTCTACTGCACTTGATTTTCTACTGTAATATCATTGCTCCTACTAAGTTCACTACTGACTTTCTCTTTGTCTGATATTGTGGAAAATTTTTAGTCTATATCTCGAATTCTCTACAGTATTTAACATTACTGACCACTTTTTCCTTCCTGAAACTTTTTGCCTTTGTAACCCTTAACAAGCTCCTTTATCTCCTAACTTTTGTCATCCTGCATTTAAAAAAGGCTGAGTAAAACATGAATCTAATCTCATGTTATGTCTGTTTCTGTGTGACCATAGGCATGATATTTGGCAAAGTGAAGTTTTTTGTCTTACTATCTAATAGGATTGTTGTAAGACATGAAATCATTAAAAATAGTTCCTGGAAGAGAATATGGCACTTAATGTGTTAATTGTTATTATTTTTCTATTTGTTGGCATTTAAAAATTATCTTGTTATATATATTAATAGATAAATAAATTCATTATATTATTAAGAACCAGAAGGAATCTGAAATACTACCTTTTTTTTTAAACTAATAAGTTATCCTGTATAGTGGGGTGCTGGTTGGTGATACGCGATCCCTGAGTCACAATCTAATGCCCGTTTGTTACTGCAGTATTAATAGCCATAATATCAGCAGGTTTTGGGCTAGTTCTTCTGGTCCCCAATTGATGTGAGTGATGAGAAAGGGTTGCTGCATGATACCTCATGTGCAGTATATTGTGTTACATTCAAGGAGAGGAACCCCGAGCTTAGGGATTCTGAATCTTTTGTAATGGGCAATAAGCGTGGTTCCTCTTTGTTCTAGAGGGAGGCATTATTATATTGGACAGAAAGCAAACCTACCCTTTGCTCTAGAGGTAGCCAATATCCCTCTCTTCTAAGGCAATTCACTATACAGACATCTTTGAAAAAATAGTTCAGAGTAAAGAGCCATCAGTGCTTTGCTCCACAGTAAGTGCAGAAAAACAAGTGACCCATGGAAAAAATTTTCTCAGTATATGGAAATATCATTAAATAGTTTACTTTTGCTTTTACCTGGTGACTCTTTTACCTTCTCTCTGACCTCATCTTATACTATTTTCCTCACTATACTGTGTTCCTAACGCCCTTCTATTTTGAGACCACGAAACATATTTTCCTACATCTCAGAGCCTTTGCTTTTAGTACTTTCTTTTTCAAACACTCTTACTGTTTTATATTCCCTTGGGATCCCCCTTTTTATAATTTATATCTTAGTTCAAAAGTCATATCTTCACATCTTCAATAACTTTAAAATAGTTCTTCTAGACACTGCATTCCATCTTTGCCTGGTTTAGTGTTTTTATGGTACTTATTACCTTATAAAATTATCTTACTAATTTATTTGGTTGTTTATCATCTGCTTCCTCTGACTAGATATTAAGGTCTGTAAGAACAAGCACTTTTTCTTTGGTCTCATTTATTACTGTATTGCTATAGTAGATAAAGAGTTATAGTAATATCTGGCACATATTAGATACATAGCTAATGTTGGTTGAGTTAGTGAACAAATGGATGGAATATGCTAAAAGATTTATTTCTTATCAAAAATATTTATGGGAGTATTGCTCTTTATCCATTTGTGTTGTTAAGTGGTGAATTATACAGCAACCTTCAGGTACTTGTCTATATATATAATTTTTAAGTCATTCAGTCATTTCTTGGTTGACAAATGTTGAAAAGAGAATTGGGTACATAAAGGCATTCAGAATAAATTTTCCATAAGTGTTTTCAGAAGAGACACTTTCATAATACATTAAAAACATTCTTATTTACAATTTTACAGTTTATTGTTTACTTAGGTAGCAATGTCTAATTATATTGAATATTATGGTAAACAAATATCTTTATCACAAAATAATGAAGTTAATGGAACCACCATTTAATGTTTTAGATGTACAGTGGGAGAAATCACAGATGCCCTGAAAAAGGTATTTGGCGAACATAAAGCTAATGACCGAATGGTGAGTGGAGCATATCGCCAGGAATTTGGAGAGAGTAAAGAGATAACATCTGCTATCAAGAGGTAATATGTAAGGTTTCTTAGGCCAGAATTTCATCTTTTCTGTTAATACAATCCTCTTGAATTTACTGGGAGCTTAATTTTCTTACATATAACCGAGAAAATGTTTGAATTTTAAAATTATAAATAGTAAAATAATAATTATATTATTATTTGTATTATATAGACTATATAACATATAATTAAAGTATATAATTCATTCATTATATATAATATATAATTAGAAATATATCATACTTGATATATATTATATACCTATACTATCATTATTTTAATACATATATGATAATATGTAATAATTAACAAATATTAAACATTGAAACTAATAATATTAGTTTTCATATAATTAATAATATTTTGAACTTTCACCATAGTCCCCTTCAGGAGTTTCTCATGTCAAGCAGATGTTTAACTAAAAATGATAATTGCTTCATATCCTCCAGGTATTTATGTTTCAATCTGCTTACTATGGTAGAGTTTCATATTTTTTGGATTTGTTTACATTATTCATTGCTTAAATGATTCATGGTGGCTCACGCCTGTAATCCTAGAACTTTGGGAGGCTGAGGTGGGTGGGTCACCTGAGGTCAGGAATTCAAGACCAGCCTGGCCATCATGGTGAACCCCATCTTTAAAAAAAAAATGTAAAATAAAATAAAATAAAATAAAATAAAATAAAAATTATGTTTCCTAATTGAAAGTAATGATTTAGTTGGCATCTATGCATACACTAAAATCAGTGTTTATTGAACTGATAATAACTAACACTTTCACAGCATGACTTGGAAATATAGATTAATGTGATCATATTTCTCAAGTATAAAACTAGCTTTCTGATGACTGGTCTTCCCAATCTCTGTAACAAGCTTCCCATTAAAAACTGAATTTCAATACTTGTACACTAGATAAATATCAAAACAGCCAAGGTGAAAGTCATCAAAATGGAACTTTTTTCTTTTAACAAAGATAAGTGCTTTTTTGTGTTGGAAGTAAATCTGTCAGTGGAGCAAGCAAGCATTTTGATTATACGTCATTATAAGAAACCATATTGTTGTTAGCTTGGGAGAGTTCACACTTATGAAGGGTAGATGAGATATGAACAATTCAAAGCAGGTAGTGTGTCACATGTATGTATAAATGAGTATGAAGTCACTTTTTAGTTTAAATCTTTCTGCATGTTGTACTCTGTAGACTGGCTCATGAAGGTGGAAGGTTGTCATTTTTTGTGTTACTTCACTATGATGTTCTCAGTGTTATGTGCTTACAGTCTGTGCTATCTTTGAGACTTTCCTCTGGGGGGAGATGACTTTAATGGAGCTCTCGATGTAAAATAGATATATTAATAAAATGTGGGTGGGAACAGGGAGAGCATCCAGAAGAATA